CTTAGTCCAAAAACAGCCTGAGATTCCTCCAACTCTCTTTCTGTCTTGCACGCACATCTCTTATTGAAAATCTAAAGTCCATGGAGGCAGTTTTCTTCAACTTTCAACAAATGTCCTATGTACATTGGTCAACACAGAAGAAGATGGAGCTTCACCATTAGAACTTCCAGGATACCTGGTCATCTGAGATAGTTTTGGCATAGATATAGTCTCCTTGATGTAGATGCTTTCTGCAGAGGAAGTCCACAAGCTAATCCATGGTTTCCTTAAGTACAGTTCATGTAGTGACCGTGATAATGGCATTGAAGAAAAAGTTATTGTTTTTCACACTTATGACTATTGCAGCATCCCCATGATCATGACTTGGGTTTGTCTAGTCTAAAGAAAAGAAGAAATAGGGGTGATAGCAATATTCCAGTATTTGAGGGGCTGCCACAAAGAAGAAGGGCACCAGAGGGCAGGACAAGAAACAGTGAATGGAAACTGACCAAAGAGAGAAGCAACCTGGAATTAAGGAGAAAGTTCCTAACAGTGAGGACAATTAACCAGTGGAACAGCTTGCCTCCAGAAGTTGTGGGTGCTTCATCACTGGAGGTTTTTAAGAAGAGACTGGACAGTCACTTGTCTGAAATGGTATAGGTTCTCCTGCTTGAGCAGGGGGCTGGACTAGAAGACCTCCAATGTCCTCTATCTCTATTCTACTCTATTCTATTCAATCAAAATTCAGATGCTTGGCAACTGGTTCATATTTATGATGGTTGCGGTGTTCCGGGGTCCTCTTTTGCAACCTTGTAACAAAGAAAGGCAATGGAGAAGTCAGATTCCCTTAACAACCGTGTTACTAACTTAACAAGTGCAGTGACTGACTTAACAACTGTGGCAAGCAAGGTTGTAAAATGGGGCAAAGCTCACTTAAAAACAGAAATTGTGGGCTCAATTGTGGTCGTAAGTTGAGGACTACCCGTACAGTTCATTGAATTAACTGAACTGGCTGAGTACCCACTGGAAGGATTAACCCAACAAACTGAGTCAAAAGCCAAGTCTAAATTGTTTTCTGAATCCAGCCAACAATGAAATCTTCTACTTGTCTCCACCAAAAGTTCTGTGGCTGTTAAAACCATAGGAGGAGTTCAAGTGACTAATCTACATCTCTGGCTGAACTTCCTGTGGAGAACATTAATCTGTAAAGTCAAGACAACAGAAGAAAAAGAATGTGTTCCTTCTTTCCTAGCTGCTCTCTTTTGGTACAACACAAGCACAGAAAGCAAAACGGAAAACATTATTGTGGTATTGTGGTTAGAATTTGGCCCAAAGTTATCCACCATATCATTGAAAAGATAAAGTGAAAAACTATCAACATCACCTCTGCCTCTTAGGAAAAAGGTGGGCCATAAAAGCAATAAATACATAAATAAGACAATTTTGTTCTGGTAAGACCTAAAAAGTTTTAGCTTTCATGCATGAGCAGAAACTGTCAAGCTGAAATGGTGCCATACTGCATAAAAGACAAGTGGCCCAGATTTCAATTGTCTAGGTTTATTTGGCTCATTAAACAAGCCTAACATAAACAAAATATATTTCTGGTTTATTGGACAGTGAAGTTGGGTTTATAATACTTAAGGAAAAGCCAGTATCCTGTTAATGAGAAATGAAAATTTGAATTTATCTGTGATTCCTTTCTTACATTCAAAGTAGGATATGTACTGTATGTGTATTTATGCGTGCATGTGTGTATATGTTTCCCATTCATTTATATACATGTTCTCAATTAAAAGGCCAGCTCCCAGGGTTAACAACAGAACAATAATAAACATCAAAGCTAAATAAAACCCATCCAGACTAAACTACACTAATCATAAAGCTATCAAAAACCATAAACAAAGAAAACATTACAGCAAAAAAAGTCAACAGAAAAGCAACAAAGATGTGCAAGGAGAAATGCAATTTAAAAAGCAAACACATCTCCAATGCCAGCAATCAAAAAATAGAGAGCAAATAGGCATGGCTTCTATGATGGGAAAGCTAATGAATCAAAATATGTTTTGAGAATGTTCTTAAAGCTTAACAAAGAAACCACCAAAGAAACAAATTCTCAAAGTGTTGGATGATGTCACTGAAAAGACCCTATCCTAAGAAATTGCTTAGTCATCTTTACAAGGAGATCCTCAAAGAAAGTTTTCTGCAGATGATAGCAATAGCAACAGCACTTAGACTTATACACAGCTCCACAGTGCTTTAAAACCCTCTCTGAGTGGTTTATAAAGTCAGCATATTGCTCCCAGCAATTTGGGTCCTCATCTTTACCAATTTCAGAAGGATGGAATGCTGAGTCAACCTTGAGCCGGTGAGAACGGCAGTTGGCAGAATTAGCCTGCAATGTTGCATTCTAACCACCGTGCCACCAGGGCTCTTGGTGGTGGCGCAGTGGTTAGATCAGTGGTTCTCAACCTTTTTAATGCCACGACCCCCAACTGGTCGTAAGTCGAGGACTACTTAACCAATCCTAAGTCGAGGACAAGTGCAGCACCGTTTGCGGAATGGGACTTTTGGCGGGCTCAGCAGGTCAGAGACAGCCTGGACAATTCCTATTGGCTTTTGAAAGCCAATAGAATTAAACTCTATTCAAGAGAGTCTATTCTATTGGCTTTCAAAAGCCAATAGAATAAAAGGGAGTAGCACAGCTAAGGAAAAGGGGGGAAAATGGCGGACTGTGTTGTTTGGCGACCCCCGTGAAATGGTCGTTTGACCCCAAATGGGGTCCCGACCCACAGGTTGAGAACCACTGGGTTAGATGATGGCTAGATGACCAACCATGATGGTGGTGGAAAGGTGATCACATATGGAGGTAGCCTTTTCTTTAAGTAGGAGGCACATGAGCCACAGAGGGATTTATATATGTGTCTAGAGTTTGCCAAAGAAGGACACTGAAATCTCAAAAAGGAATTATACATGCCTATAATTCCAACTTGATACCCTCAACGCGAGCCTAGTTGCCACATTCTGAACCAGTTACAATCTCCATGTGTCCCACCAAGGACTGCCCCATGGACAAGTGCAATAATTTAAGCCAGAGTTAATCAATCGGCAGGTATCAGCAGCCACTTCAGTTCTCATTCAGAAGGGGTGCAGATGTTAACCTCTGGACATGTTAGTTATACAAGCAGTACATGGTTCATTCTTGAACCCATTGTTGTCAGGAAGAGGAGGATTCTTAAAACAGTCAAAAACTGAAGTTTCACAAATTATTGCAAAGACTCGGGAAAGTGAGTCTTTGGTTCTTTCCAGAGCCTCCTACATACACCCATGTTTTTTAAAAAAAACCATTCAGGCTTAGTCCTGAATTAAAACACAACACAACCAATTGTAAAGATGCATAAAAAATAAAAATCAACCTGAATCAATGAATCACTTCCCAACATCATAAAGACCTGGGCTTAACTCCAGACATTCACAGACCACCGCAAGAAAACAAACAAACAAACATGCAGCTTATTCAGTTCCCATCCGAGTGTTAAACTTGGTCTGATTCATTTAAATTACCCAACCAAAAAATACTTTTAAAACGTTGTAGAACCCATTCTAAGACTCAAGTGTCGTCAGCAAGAAGCCACTGGATAAAAACGAAGGTGCTCATCAACCAGTCAGGGGTTCTCAACCTTGGCAACTTTAAGACTTGTGGACTTCAATTCCCAGCTGGCTGAGGAATTCTGGGAGTTGAAGTCCACAAGTCTTAAAGTTGCCAAGATTGAGAACCCCTGCTCCAGATATTCCTCAAGTACAAGTCCCTCCTCCCCAGGGGCCAGGCTGATAGGCATGGTAGTTTAGCAGTATCCACGGGCCACAAGTTGTGCATCCAAACATGTTTTCTGCAGATAAAGAGAGACACCCTTCTTTGAATGATGTGCAAAGGCCAGACGGCTTTAGCAATGTGAACGTTGACCTGTTGCCAATGCTGCTGTGACAGGAGACAGCCCTTTCTTGTGCCTTCTCCCCACGTTGTAACATGGTGACAAGTCAAACTTCACAACAATCAGGAAAAAGCTATGGCTTGAGGCAAGCCACGGCACTCAGCGGTCTAGCGCGTGCTTCTCATACAGAAGGGTCCCCGCTTCTTCAGCACTTGAGGCCATGTCGCCTGCGTTCAGCAAAGCTCCAGACTCAAGCCTCTTCTTGGGGGACCGTTTGAAAGTCTGTCAGGGAAAGAAGGGAAGATCAAGGGGAGAAGAGGACAAGCTTTGCATCCAGGCAGGGGGGGGGGGAGAAGAGAAGTGGGCTTAACTCATCCTAAAACAGACTTCGATGTTTCTTCCTGGAGTCCAACAAGAAGCCAGAAGAGAAGAAAAGAGATGATGCTCAAGCAACCTTAGGTCAGAGCAATGCCAGGCCAGCTTGGCTTGTTCCGTCTGCCCAGAGAAAGCCAGCTCAAGCCCATCACGCCTGTCGGGGGGGGGGGGCATTAAAAGCGCCCATGCCAGCTCCTCTGCCCAGGTCTAATTTCTCCGGTGGCTTCCCGACAGCCACCCAGACACAAAGAAAGGAACAAAAGGGAGCGAGAGAGAGCCCAGCTACAAGTTGGAACACATTTGGAGAAGCAACAAAACTGCCGCCGCCGCCGGGCGCAGATGCGCCCTGGGAACCAGGCGGCTGCGGAGGAGCCCGGCAGACAACCCTCTCCCGCGGCTGGCACATCCCAACCCGGGGTCGTCTCCGGCCCGGGGGGACCCCACCAGCCGAATCCCCTCGTCAGCATCAGGCCAAGCGCGCCGAGGGCAAGCGAGGCAGCCCTCCTGGGCGAAGGAAGCAGGTCAGCGCGGGCATCACGCCCCACCTGGGGAGCCCGCGCCGAGCAGCCCAGCCAAAGGGGAGCCAAGGCGCCCCGACAGCCTCTCAAGATCCGGGCAGGCTGCAGAGGACGGCCGGACTCGGAGGAGCCGCCCGGGAGCTCCCCACCCCACCCCCGGGAGAGCCCCCCAGGCGGAGCTCCGGCGCAGCCAACTTACCCTTCTGGCCACCAGCCATCCTCCGCGGCTCGGGGAGGAAGCGGAGGGGGGGCGGGGGTCGCGGCCGGCTTGTAAGCCAAGCGGGGCTGGCGAGGCGGAGGGCGGCGGGAGAGGCGGGGAGCGGATCGCCCTCCGCGGAGCTCCGGTGCTGCAAAGGAGAGTCCGGAGCCTGCAGCTCGGGCGCCCCGGCGAGCTTCGCTCGGCAGCGGCGGCCAAGTCAGCCGAGGAGCCGGGGAGGAGCGCGGGGTGCCGCGGCCGCTGCAACTTCGCCAGGCGGGCGAGCGAGGAGGGGGAAAAGCAGCGCGCGGCTGGGGCGTCGGAAACGGTCCGCCCCTGCCTTGGCCACGCTTGCGCACAGAGGGAGCAGCCCCCGGCTCAGCCGCGGTGGGCAGGCGAGGGGGGGGCGGCCGGCCGACCGACCGGCCGGCTGGGCGCTGCTTCTTGCGGGCCGAGGGCCGGGAGGCGCCGGCTCAGCCTTGGGCTCTGCTGCCGGCTCGAGGAGGCGCGGGGCTGGCGAAGCGCGGCTCGGAGCCGAGGGAAACGCGGGGTTCGCTTAGGCTTCCCCACGTTGCTCCCTCGGGGCTTTGGGCTGGCCAAATTGGCCTCGGGGTCCGTTAGGGTACGAGGCCTGGAGCTTTGGCACACGCTTTCCTGGTGAAAGTGTTCGGGCGTGGCGAGCCGTGGGAATGCAACAGTTGTATATGGGGGGGGGGGGTGTGGGTTCCCCTCCGAGCTCACAGGTGTCCGGCTGAACCCGGGGCGGCGGCTGCTTCGTGGGAAGGGAAAGGAAGCCGAGTTTTTCTTGTCATTCCGGCGAGCTGGAAGTTTGCATTCCTTGGCAAGCTTTGGAAGGGTAGCAACGAGGGAGGGAGGGGGTTAAAAATGGACACACAAACACACCCCGTGCCAGAGAGAGAGAGAGAGAGGCCCAAAAGGTGTTTCGGTCATTCCTGTATCCATCCAATTTAGAGGAACAAAAATTGGCAGGCGAGGAAAGATGGGGTATTAACATTTAGAAAGGAGGAAAGGCAGACAAGAGTGGCGTCTGTTGACACCGCTCTCATCACCTGGCCTGTCCCACTTGAGCCTTTTTAAACAACTCTCAAGGCTTTGAGGTACGCCTGATCTAGAGAGAGAGAGAGAGAGAGAGAGAGAGACCATGTATGGATTGCAGGAGTGTTGCATTGTTATAGGACAGTGGTAGCGAACCTATGGCACGCGTGCCAGAGGCAGCACTCAAGAGCCCTCTCTGTGGGCACGCACGCTGCTGCTGCCAGCAGCTTGCGCAGGTCCATTAGGCCGCTGCTGCCCAGACTGGCTACCCAGTCCAGCACAAAGGTGAAGTAGCCAGCTAGCAAGCTCAAGTAGAGGTGGTAGAGTGCACCCACAGCCAGCAAGCCAAAGGCTACCCGGAGCAGGGAAAGCCGGATCCCCATCGGCACCATGGCCCCCCAGTCCCAGCTAGGATTGCATGCCTCCCCCCATCTATGCTGGGCCTCCTGCCCACCGCCCCACCTGCCAGAGACCCCCTGAATCTCCCCCAACCCTGCCCGGCCCCCACAGGCATCCCCCCATGAGCAATATCGAGGTGGCCATGCCCACCCCAGCCACACCCACCCAGTCTGCCGTGACAACTGGAGCCATGCCCACCCAGTGGGCCACACCCCCATGCCCCCCCCCGAGGGCACCACAATGCTGATGCGGCCCTGGCACTTTGCAATAAATAATTGAGTTTTGGGTTGTGGTTTGGGCACTCAGTGTCTAAAAGGTTCACCATCACTGTTATAGGAGGTTATAATAACTGTCTGGAAAACCCCTCCTAGTGTCTTTGTCCCCAACAAAAGGTGAGCTTCCCACATTGCTTCAATCTCTGGAATACATTAGCACTTCTCCATATCCCTGTTTGATGTTTTTTTTTTTCCTAGAAAGGCCATTTTAAGTTCCACTATGGCAACTGAAAAGCTGGTATGCAGTAATGCCCTAGTATTTCCCTTTTGTTCAATTAGTCGGCCTTCATCAACGGCCACTCGTGACCAACCAAATTTATAACGATGCTGAACGGGTGATACTTACAACCAGACTTCATGTTCATCTCAGCATCCCACGATTACCTGATCATCATTTGCAACCTTCCCAGCCAACTTCCCACGAGCAAAATCAGTGGGGAAGCCAGCAGCAAGTCAGAAATTGAAATCATTTGAGGTCCTCAACTACCTGCACAGTTCTCGCTTACAACAGCAATCAGAACTGCTGTCACTAAGTGTCATTGTCATGTGGATTTTTTTTTTTGACTTGCAGACCTGTTGCTTAACAACAGCATTTCCAGTCTCAGTTAGCGTCATTAAGTGAGGATGTTTACATATAATGAATTTCCCCCCAAAACAGCAGCTAAGTGGACTAGGACATGCCCACATAGCCTAGCAAGCTTCTGTGGCTGGGGGGGTGGGTTTGAATCTGGGTTTCCCTGGTGCCACCAACAACCCTTCACCGACACACACCACTGGTTATCTTTAAACATCATGGACAAGAATGGAAAACGAAAATATTGGCTATTCTTCTATGCAAGGTTTAAGCCCAAGTGAACTAAATCAGGCCTCATGGACAAAGGATTGAACCAAAGTCTGTGCTATGCTTAATTTTGCAGTTTGCAATTGTACTTAATATGATTTTGCTAAGCTTGGGTCAGGCCTCAACTATGAAACATGATGAGGAACTACCTTGGCCCAACAACCAAGCCAGAATCGGCTTCGGTGGGAGAGATTTCAAAGAATGGGCTAGAGGGGAACAAATTCCCAGCTTCCAGAGAAATGGATCTAGCTCGCCTTCGTGATAATCATTTTATGATGTGGCAAATATCCCATATTCGGCAGGCATTTAAAGATTCAGGCTGTTGCTCAGGAGATTAATACTGTAAACACTTGCAACATTCAGCTGCCATGTCAGCATGTATTTATTGCCAAGTGTGCATGTGTGTGTGTGTGGGGGGGAAATGCAGTACTCACAAAATTTGCATCTTTAGCCAAAAGATCTAGCTCGCTATGCTGTCTTGAACTCAAGTAAAAAGAAACAGTTTCAAATGTTGAAATAAACATGCATGGGCATATACATCAGTGTTGATAGTATTGTTTGGCAATATAGTAATATGGGAACTTTGTAACACACAGCTCAAAAATTTGTATGGTAGAGGGGAATTCCTGCACAAGTAGTACAAGAACTTTAGGGGAGATTGTTTCTTAGTCAAATTCAGCATAAGGCAGGCACAAGCAAGAGAACAAAGTCAAATTATTGTCTTACACTTTAAGAGAGCTGATTTCAACAAACTCAGACCTTGGGAAGGATTCCATGGATAGAAATTTTGAGGCGAAAACAACTCAAGAAGCTTGGGAAACTCTGAAACATGAGATTATAAAAGCCCAATCTGGCACAATACCACTGAAAAATAAAAATAAAGAGACCCCAAAAGAAACAAGCATAAATAACTCCCTGATAAACTAAAGGACAAAAAGGACAAGTAAAAAAAGGTGGAAAAGAAGGCTTCTAACAAGCAGTCAATGGGGGAAGTTGAATTCATTTAATGACCACACGAGTCATTTAACTGCAGTGATTCATTTAACTAGCAAAAAAAGTCATAAAATTGGGCTCAATTTGTTTAATAACCAACTTGCTTAGCAACAGATCTCAATTTTGGTCATAAATAGAGGGTTACCTGTATTTTATTTTACTGAGGCTATTTCAGCCACTCCACCCCATACCTCACTGCATCTGAACAGTTCTATCCCCAGTTTTATCAAAAAGAACCTGGTCAGTTTCTCAAAGAAGCAAATCCAGCCTATTCTTGCCTAAACTGAAGTCCTCCTGAAACAAATAGGACAATTGTTAGCAACTATGGCTACATGTCAGCTGCACATTTTTCCTTCTTTGGTTGAGACATGCTAAGTCACAATGTAATTTGCTTGTGATTAGAATTATGATTTACAGTTAATTTTTATCCAAAATATCACGAGCCTTCTCCAAACTTGCAAGTTGTTGCACAGAGCAAAGTTAGAGCAAGTTTCGCCAATTGTCAAGCTTTATTTGTGCAAGCTGACCAACTTCATAAAACATTGGAAATCCCTACCACCAGTTGCTGGGGGGTCACAGCCCACAATTTGAGATCATGGCTGTAAATCATGGTTAAAACAAACCGTTGCTTTTGTGAGAAACTGCCCTGCCTGTCTGCTTAATTCTCCCCCTGTCTAGTACCAGCTCTGTCTGCTTCAACTTCAGCTGTGTATGGAAAAAGGGATTCACGCTTGCCAGCTGCACATCCAAGTGGTTTTCTGCTTGACTGCCAAGTCTAGTCACACTCTGGGAATTCCAAGGAAAAGTCTTACGTTTGTTTCATCTCCCGTTCCCGCTGAAACACAGAGAGTGGCTTTGATTATTTAAAGCCCCAAACTTTTGTTTCAAAACCCCATCTTGCATTTTTTTTAAGCACCTGGACATCCCGAGTTGTACACATCTGTTCAAAGAAAGGGTTATTTGGTTTGCACCACAGGATATTCTGAGTGTTTATATTTTTTTCTTTCTGAGACCACCCCTGGTCTTTAAAAGTTCTATCTTGCACAGAGTATGTATCATAGAAGCCTTTTCACAGTATACAGTCTGTACTGATGATCCCCAATTTTATCACCGCTTTCAACAGAATGAAAATGCTTTTGCAGGAACGGTTCTATCGGACTGTATTCACACAATGTGCAAAGTGGAAGATCTTTTTCCCGCAACACACCATCCTTCACCTTTTATTTGCATAGTCTTGGCTTAATTCTGGGGTAAACAATCCACAACCCCTGGGCCACGCGCATCTCCTGGGCCTTTTGTTTTGAAGCGCCCCAAAACTGCAAAAAAAAAAGTGCTTTGAAGCAGCTAGATCAGGGGTGGGGTACTATGGCCCCTTTATGACCCATGGACTTCAACTCCCATGCTGGCTAAGGAATTCTGAGAGTTGAAGTCCACGGGTCATAAAGGGGCCATCGTTCCCCAACCCTAAGCGAAAAGCAAGAGCATCACACTTGCCTGCTACTTCTTAAAACAATGATGTCTTTTCCCAATTAAGCACTTCCAAGTGGTTCAGTTGCACAAATACTATTTTAAATCCCTCCAACTCTTCCCAGCCAATTATTTTGGCCCCACCCGTTCATGTGATAGCACCATATCACAAGCAGTGAATCTTGGAAACAGTTCTCCCTCCTTTTCCCTTTCTATTTGAGAGAAGGGGGAAGAGCAGCCTTGGCCATTAAAAAGTTGCCTATCCCTAGTCTTGGCAGGTTTGTGAAAGCCAGTCAATTGCAGCGGTTCAGCCAGGCAGAAATACTATCTGTCTTAACACATGTTTCCTTGCTTCTCTGCTTTCACTCGGAAAGCCTATCCTTCCCGTTGGAGGAGTTCTGTTGAGGATGAATCACAGGAATGTTGCTGCAACTGTCCTGGGTGACACACTTGGAAAGGGAGCTCTTTTGCTGTGCATCTTTGCCCATGCAAAACCAACTGTCCTCTGAGGAAAGTAGCCGTGCCATCTGCTCTTGAGAAAGCAATGGGCATTCTCTAAGCCACGTGTGTGCCAAATTCCGTTGCAACGGTTATAGAAACCACAGACTATTAAGAACTGGCAATTGTTTTTTTTTCCCCTCCCCGTTCTTTTTTCCTCCTGTGCTGTGTCTTTTTACACTGACAAGCCTGAAAACTGCTTTACACTACTGCAGAATCCATAATGGCAACTGTTTAAGTGGAAGGGTGGGCTAGCGAAGCTTTAAAACAAATATTAAGCATCAAAGCTGGCAAGAATAGCCATCACTCCAGAAGATAGGCGTAAGATACAGGAGAATCTTGACAGACTTGAACATTGGGTACTATCTAACAAAATGAAATTCAATGGTGAAAAAAGTAAGGTTCTACATTTAGGCAAGAAAAACCAAATGTACAGGTATAGTATAGGTGATACCTTGCTCAATAGTAGTAACTGTGAGAGGGATCTTGGAGTCCGGGTGGACAGTCACTTAAATATGAGCCAGCCGTGTGCTGCAGCTGCCAAAAAAGCCAATGCAGTGCTAGGCTGCATTAACAGAGGGAAAGAATCAAGATCATGTGAAGTGTTATTACCACTTTATGATGCCTTGGTAAGGCCACACTTGGAATAATGCACCAGCTTTGGTCGCCACAATGTAAAAAAGATATTGAGACTCTGGAAACAGTGCAAGAAAGAACAATAAAGATGATTAGGGGACTGAAGGCTAGAACATATAAAGGGTTGCTGGAATTGGGTATGTCTAGTTTAATGGAAAGAAGGACTAGGGATGACATGGTAGTAGTGTTCCAATATTTAAGGGGTTCCCACAAAGAAGAGGGGGTCAATCTATTCTCCAAAGCACCTGAAGGCAGGACAAGAAGCAATGGATGAAACCTGATCAATGAGAGAACCAACCTAGAACTAAGGAGAAATTTCCAGTGCAAACAATTAACCAGTAGAACAACTTGCCTCCAGAAGTTGTGGATGCTCCAACACTGGAAGTTTTTAAGAAGAGATTGGTCAACCATTTGTCTGAAATGGTATAGGGTTTCCTGACTGAACAGGGGGTTGGACTAGAAGACCTTCAAGGTCCCTTCCAACTCTTGTTATTCTATTAAATATGGAGAAACAGCCAACCTATCTGTCCCAAATTGGACAGTTAAGTGGGCAAACCCACACAGAATTAGCCTCTGCCAGAATTGTGAGTCATATTGATACAGCATAGGCATTACTCCCCTGCTCATCGGGACTTTTAATTGTTTAAGTTCTGTCTCATGGCACCAAATTTGGGAACTCTCTTTTTTTGACTCAGCAATGTTCTCGCTAACTCCCAAGTGCCAAATGGTTAATGCTGTTCTTACCATCTTCTTCCCCTATTTTCTCTTTGGCCTGTTACAGTTCTTTCTCTGGCGAGTGACAGTAAATCAATATAGAAGGCATTGGAAAAAATTAGCAAATGAGTGTTGCAGAACTTACCTACCTCATCCTGGCCCAATTCACAATGAAACCCAATGAAAACCCAGTAAATCTGTTAGTTTGGGACTATATTTTCACATGCTTAAAACACAGATCAACCTTGCAGATTTATCTGTTTGAGCCTTCTCAGCTATAAATACAAGTAGTCTCTGACTTGCAATGATTTGTTTAGTGACTGCTGGAAGTTGTAACAGCAATGAAAAAAAGCATCCCCTGGGTTACAAGTTCAAAATTTGGGCGTTTGGCAGTTGGCATATATGTTATGATGGTTGCAACATCCCGGGATGATGTGATTGCCATCTGCAACCTGCCTAGTCAGCTTCTTCCAAAGAAAAGTCAATGGGGGCATCTGAATTAGCTTAAGCACCACATGATCCGTTTCACAACTGCAGCAATTAGCTTAGCAATTGTGGCAAAAAAAAAAAAAAAGATTGTAAAATTGGGCACAACTTAAAACTGCCTTGTTTGGCAGTGGAAATTCTTGTCCCAGTTGTGGTTGTGAGTTGAGCACTACCTGTATTAGCAAAAACCCGTCTTTTTTTCTAAGTTCAAGGCAACTAAATCACTAAATATTTGCAGTTTGGGAGATAAATCATACCTGGATAGAAATAATAACAGTGATAAAAATGGCATAGAATTCCACGTTCTTCTGTATTCTAATGGTGAATTCATTCTGCAAGAACAGGTCAGTGTCACAGCAACGGAAAGGAAAGGACAGGGTCTGTGAGGATGAAGCCTGCAGAAGCACAAAAGGTATTAAAATACCTTTTTTTTCCCCCTTATAAAAATCCATCCTTTTACAGTAGTGGCCAAAATTGTGGAAACCTTTTGGGAAAAGTGTACAGTAGAAATGCCACCTTTGGTTAAGTTTCCATCAATTTTTGTTCTAATTTCTCTATAACTGTAGCCTTATTCATTTAACAATACTATTTTACATCGCTTTCTGGGCGACCAGTCAACTCTTTGCACCATGACTTTAGTTTTATTACGTTTCACAAGCTCACTAAATGAAAGAACACAAAAAAAACCCAACCAACTTGACAGCCATCACATAACAACACACTGACAAATGTCCTCCTCTCAGCTTCAATACATGACATCAATAACCGAATCCTACTGTGACCTGATTGGCTCATTGCCAAAACAAGATGACACCTAATTGGCTCTCTAAACACTCGTGCTCATTTGCTGCAATCAGATGAAGGAAAGTTACCCAATATCAACCTAAGCAAGTTGTGCTTCCTTTTTCTGGTTATTTGGCTATAACTTTTCATAGAATACAGTACAGATAATTGAACAAACTTTGTTGCATTACATTCTCGATTAAATTATCTTTCCATTGATATATAACTTTATGGTACTACTCCCCCCAAAAAAAGTGGTGTTATTAGCCATCAAACCTCAAAAATACACTTTTCCCAAAAGGTTTCCACAATTTTGGCCCCTACTATACAATCCTTACATTTAAAAACCCCTTTTAAAGGCTGCTCCAGGCCGTCTTAGCATTAGCAGAGCCGTTCAGATGTCATGTCATGTTCAATTAAAATTAAAACATGTGGATTTTAGAATTTTAAAAAATGCTGAGAAACAATGCAGTTGCTTTATAGGAAACACATGGTCAGCTTTATTGGAACAAAAAAAGTCACACGAGGACTTACGGGAATAGGCGATGGGTGGCCTTCGAAATGTTAGCCTGCAGCTGCAAATCTCCCCTTATTGGGCAAGACTATGTAAATTGGAGTTAAAGATCCGCCATAACCGTAAGTTAAACAAACTAATATAGTGACTAGATTCTATTAACTGAAAAGTCCAAGAAGAAAATATGCGAGCTGGAAAATGGACCAAAAAAAGAGGGGGGGGAGAGAGAATTTTCATGGGCTGAACTGATTTGGGCTTTTTACGATGTTTGTAGAGCACCACCATCCATTTTTGCATGTTACTGTTTTACTTGTGGCTTTCTTCCAGGTTGTGTATAGAGGCTTTCTCAACCTAAAATGCTGGCTGGTGAATTCTGGGAGTTGAAGTCCATATATCTTAAAGTTGAGAAATACTGACTTAGAGCTTCTTTTTCCATTTGCCAGCCTTGGTAGCCAACAGTCAGATGATCCACTGGAGTCCAACATAATCTGGAGATCAACTAGGCCAGGGAAGGCAACCAGGTTAATGTCACGTATTGCAGCTTTAAAACATGACAAATATAATGCAGTATTGTAAGGTATAGCAGGAAGAAATACAAGCATGAAGCACATATTGCTTGCATCGTGATGTTTTCTGTATCTTTTTTGAATATAATGTCCACAATTCGTCACCATCATGGAAACTGGTGGGGCTGAAAGCCGTTGAACTCCCAAATCTATTGAAAAGCACAACCTGCCATCTGCTGAAACATCTGAAATGTCAAATCCACGGTCCACATAGCAGAAGAATGTGATGTCTGTAGCCTTCCAAATTCTGTTGGTTCTCAAACTCTATCAACTGTAGCCATCATTTATGCTGGTTTAGGTAAGTGGGAACTGACCCAAAAAACAGTCAGGCTAGGGCAGTGATGGCAAACCTTTTAGAGACCGAGTGCCCAAATTGCAACCCAAAACTTATGTATCATTGGGTGCCGGGTGGGCGTGGGCCTTTGGGTGGGTGTGGGTCTTTGAGTGGGCACGGCTTCAGTGGTAGCGGCAAACTGGGTGGGACTAAAAAGTTCAATCAATCAATTCCAATTTTATCTTATTTTTCCCCGCAAGAAGTTGAAATTGATTGATTGACTGAACCTTTTTTTTTTTTGTACACAGTGGTGGAGGCCTAAAGAGAAAAGATTTTATAAAACCCAGCTGAAGGCCTAGGACTGGGGTGACGGTGCACGTGCCCACAGAGAGGGCTCTGCATGCCACCTGTGGCACGCGTGCCATAGGTTCGCCATCACGGGGCTAGGGGAAGGAAGATACATCTGGAACTCATGGACACAGCTATTTATTGATTTTTTTTAAAAAAAAATCCAATAGAAAAAAAAATACAAATTAAGTCTTTAAAAAAAAACAACCCAAATATCTTACAGACCATATAAAGGTATCATCATTTCTTGTTTAGGTGTGTTTTTTTTTCATCCGCTCTTTCTTCAACATCCTCAGATGTTCAGGCTTTACCAGCTTCCTGGAATTTCTTCAGTAGAGGTTCATCTGCTCTGACAGCAAAGGTCAAGGGACACTTTTGATAATACTGGGAGTCCAGCTCCAGATGATACATCACATCGGACAGCAGGAGGGCCCGCTCAACAGAGCACCCCGGTGCATCGTAGCTCAGGGCAGTGAAATGCACATGAAGGTGGAAATAGGATGGCTGGTAATGCAAGTAAACCCTCACTTGGGTCTTTGCAAGGCCAAAGCGCTTTTCTATGGCCTCCTACAAGAAATGGACAATAAGTTAATGTTCGTATTAAAAACAGACAAATACTTAGGAACTGTTCCACTTAATGACCATGTTGGTGGTCCTAACTGTGGCTGCTAAATGAGGACTACCTGTAAGGCAAAAAATATAGGATAAATGACAAAATGTACTGAATGAGGCATGGCACAGAGAAAACGGACTTAGTTATTATTTTTTCTCATTCTCTAAAACTCTGGAATTTCAGGTCATCCCAGGAAGGCAAACATATGATGGAATTTATTTCTGCTATCCCCACTGACAGCTAACTGGATGGCTTTAAATACCTACAGTAACCGCTATAGGTAGGGTGACTCTCTGTTATTTGAGAAGGGACATGAGTGAGAGAATAATTATGTGCTTGTGTCTCCTTTGGGTTGCCCACCCTGGAAACTGCATTTCAAACTGGATAATCTTTAGCCTGATGCAACAGCTATTGTCAGAGCAAGCAGAGGATTTTATTTTTTTTAAAATGACTTTGCCACCTGAGCACATCACTCTATCTAACACTCATCCTGGACAGGGAAACTCCTGAGATAAGGATCGGAATTGGTCTCATTAAGAAAAGATAATTCCTTGCAGCAGTTTTTCCCAGCCTGGTGCATTCCGGGTGTGCTGGCCCCGAATTCCTCACCAACATTGGTCGTCAGTGAGAATCTACTCATTGTGAACTGATAGCTCTCTTTTGTTTCTCAGGACTTGGATCTACTCCTAACTACGTCCAAGCGCTGTGTGCAGAAATGTCATCGGCTCTCCTTCCATTTCTTAGCACTTGAACCCAAATTGTCACAGTTTGCTCCTCCCACCTGCTTTGTTGTTTGCTTATTTGCCAACTGCCGATCAAATTAAACACAGGCGGTTAAGTGCTTTGGAAACCCTTAGGCCTGGTTTCTGAAGCAGTCTAAGTGGCGTACTCTCACATCTCCTCTCCAAACCACAACACAATGCTTTTGCAACCTACTGTGGTGACTATGGCAGTTGTTTTGAACTGAAGGGTCTACCGCAGGTAACTGTGCAACAGAACCGTTTTTTGCAAAGTAGATCTGTGCAGCTCAACCTGCATTCCTCCACTCACTGCAGCCGAGCTGACTTTTAAACAAGCAGGAAAATTGCAGCTGCCCATGGGCTTGGAAGCCGCTTCCCCCCAGATTTTCCATTTGGGCCCTTGCTCGCTGGGCACGGTGCCATCCCATTCTGGAAAGACCGCTCTGCAACATCTGGTCCCGAGGAGACGCATTTCGTTTTGCCAGTTCGGCCTGGCATCGGCCAATTCATCACAAGGGAAAATAGCTGTGCCCAGAAGACAAGGAAGAGGCGGGGGAGCAGCCATGGGAAAAGGCTCAGACAGTCTACCAACAAAGGGGTTGCTATAAAGTCACGAGGTGCCCCCATAAGCAACCAGCCGAATGAATTCAACACGAAAACGCCACAATAAATTACAAAGAGGGCATGCATCCTTCTCGCCTGCAAGCTGCAGCTTCGCTATGCTAATCTATTTCAGAGGCACATCAGTTGCTGACATGAACCGTTTCCTCAGAACTTCATCGGAAATGAATAAGCAGTTAAAGGAAAGAGAAGTAGGATTTTCCACCCCACTCTGGAATTTCCCTTTCATTAACCCGGACTGGGTGCCAACAGAAAGCTAACTCATCTTTCTACCCAAAAGGAGAGAATTGACCTGCTATTGTACTGCTTGTGTGTATGTAGGGATATGAGTCGTAAAACGATTCAGTTTTTAGTTTTAAAAAAAAACAACAAGCAAAAAGGAACCTATTTTGAAAGCAAGATTTAGAACTGGGCAAAGCACCTGGGGGTGAAAAAAATACATTGCTAATATTCATCACGTCTTTGTGATTAAAAAAACATTTCCCAAGTTAGATTGACATTTAAAGATAAATCTGAAGCAGTCTGTGTTTTTGCTTAGTTTTTACAGATTATATGAATGCTCTTGACGATCAAGAAATAGAGCTAGGAAGTTCTAAATGTTATTTTTTTTCTAGAAATGCAAAACAAAAACAAAAAACAATAGTGGGCAAGTATAAAAGAAGATGGCCTTTTGGCCCATTCATTTTCTCTCAGAAATACAAGATTCTGCAATGGAATTATGAATTGTGAATTATGCTCTGTTTAATTCACAACCTTGGATCTCTGCAGGGAAAACGCTATCTTGAAAACCACGGTCGGAGTTCTCTAATTCAGTGGTTCTCAACCTTTTTAATGACGCAACCCCCAACCGGTCATAAGTCGAGGACTACTCAACCGGTCGTAAGTCGAGGACTACTCAACTGGTGCAGCACCGTTTGCAGAATGGGACTTTGGGCGGGCTCAGCAGGGCAGAGACAGCCTGGACAATTCCTATTGGCTTTTGAAAGCCAATAGAATTAGACTCTATTCAAGAGAGTCTATTCTATTGGCTTTCAAAAGCCAATAGAATAAAAGGGAGTAGCACAGCTAAGGAAAAGAGGGGAAAAAATGGCGGACTGCGTTGTTTGGCGACCCCCGTTAAATGGTCGTTCGACCCCAAATGGGGTCCCGACCCACAGGCTGAGAACCACTGCTCTAATTACATGCTAATAGTGTATATAAGGGAAAGCTATTTAGTTTCACCAACACAACGAGAATCTGGGGTGATCAGAAAACCTAGAAGTAGAAGGGGCAAGAACTGGATGAAGTGAAAGAGGTACTCACCCCTCCTTCTTGCAAGATGTTTCTCAGCAAAGGGAGATGCTCAGCCGTCAGATCCCTCACTGATTTGATTCCCCTGCGGTGACAGATGGCAATCAAGTATAAATCCTCAAGCTGTAAATACAGAAGAGGCAGGTGAGGTCAGAGGTGCAATTACATGCTTTTCACGTTTCGCATTGGTCAGTCATAAAGCAACGACATGATTTTTCCCCTGTAAGGTTGTATTAGGCCCCGAACCACTCGTTCTTCCAGGCTGAGTTCTTTATTTTTTCACACCTATAGATAAAATCTTGCCTGACTGGGGACTCTGCTATCTACTATCAGGAAGAGGCTGTCTTCACCCTCTTTCTCTGACACTAATATCTGTGCAGAGTTGCCTCTTACTCCTCTGGGATGCACCCCCTTCCTCCTGGGGATCCACCTCCTCACTACAATCCATCACAGATAGCCACTTCTCCATCATCCCCGTCCATCCCCCAAGATATCTCTCAGAGGTGATCATGACAAAACACAGATTGGCATAACATTCACGGGGTTATGAATCATTACAAAAACTTAACACAAAAACACAACGTATCTCATCACTTCAGAGATGATTGTCCGGGGCTGTGAACAAGCAATTTCAATCAGCCAACTTAGTATTAGATAGATAGATAGATAGATAGATAGATAGATAGATAGATAGATAGATAGATAGATGGATGGATGGATGGATGGATGGATGGATGGATGGATGGGTGGATAGGTAGATAGACAGACAGATATGGATGGATAGATAGATGGATGGGATGGAGAGAGAGAGAGAGAGAGAGAGAGAGAGAGAGAGAGACAGGTAGACAGACAGACAGATATGGATGGATGGATAGATAGATAGATAGATGGATGGAGAGAGAGTGAGAGAGAGAGAGAGAGAGAGAGACCGGTAGATAGACAGATATGGATGGATGGATGGATGGATGGATGGATGGACGGACAGATAGATATAGATGGGTAAACTGACAAATAGATAGATATGGATAGATGGATAGATGGATAAGACAGATAGACGGACAGATATGGATGGATGGATAGATGATAGATAGATAGATAGATAGATAGATAGATAGATAGATAGATAGACAGACAGACAGACAGACAGACAGACAGACAGACAGGCAGATATGGATAGACAGACAAATAGATAAATATGGATAGACAGACAAATAGATAGATATGGATAGAAGATAGACAAATATATGATAGATAGATTCATTCCACCGTATTACCAGTCGTGGGCTCAGAGTAGCTTATAGTGGTTTAAAACCACAATATAAATCACACATTTCAAATAATTGACAAAAGAGTAAAAACAAAAATCCACACGAACACTTTGCATAAAACTCCCAGTCACCACAGCTGTATTCACCAAAGACCAAGAGCTACATAGCCACAGAAGGGGACCACCTGCTTTTCAAGGGGAAATGACATCTACCATACCAGGACCCGTTGCTGAGAAGGCCCTGAATAATCAAAACTGGCTCTAACCACAAGCAGCACACAATTTGGGCTTTTGATATTGTGGCATTCAGGATCTAAATTATTCTGGACTTTGAAAGAGTTCAAAGCATTTTAGATCATATCCAGAAGTAATTTACCCAGCAGATGGTCAACTCTTGGATTGCGGAGCTTTAAAACCATGAGGCTAAGGTTTATATAAACCTTCTGTAAAAATTAGTAGATAGAAGTAAATCCTAGCTTGCCAGAAGTAGTATGTTTAAGAATAAAGAAGCAATAAAAATACAATTAAAGTGAGGAATAAATAAAGCTAAAATGCTGGAAATAAATTCAGTCGCAAATGTAAACAGATGTGCATGTACCCAAACTTTACATGAATATATCAATTTCTGATATACCGAAGGGAGTCACTGAATTATATCTCAAATGTTTTTATCTATTGTGGAGTCTGCAAGGAAGCTAACTAAGCTAATTAAAACTTACTGATATACACATAAAAATAGTAACTTCACCATTCCCAGAGACAGTAAAAGGTATAATGGTTAATTTAAGTCTTCCTTTACATGATTAGATTTTTAAAGCAGGATGTTGTTTATCAAGATCATGACACTCCCTCGTCTTCCTGGTAACCTGGATGCACCAAATTTAAACTGATTTTTTTTTCCCACAGATGGTTACTTTTTAACCGCAATACAGGAAATCGCAAGAACAAAGGGACTGCCTTACTGGTTCCAGAACAGAAAATATCATTATTCCGTGTGGCACATTGTGTGGATTTTAGTGTGCAATTGACAACACATCCCCACTGTATTCAGTTTGCTAGAGTAAGGATTTGGTCCCCTCCTAACTTTAAAATTTGAGTTTATTCTCCTTGTAGTATCCATTATTTTCTGCCAACAGAAGCTAAGGAGACGCTATGCTGGTATGATCCAGCAAAAAAACATTGAAACAAAGAATTAATTGTAGGGTCACAAGCATTATGGTGGAAAAGCACAATTATTTCACACAATTTTTGCATGCCTAATGCAATGTGGTAAAGCAGTTTCACTGCACTACACTGATTTCAAACTCTGATCTTGAAAATGGAAACTCTAAAAAGGAACCTTTTTCTATAAATGGCTGAGCTACGTTTTTTTTTTATTTCTGTTCTGTTCAGAACAGGAAGCTCTATAAAAAGGCATAAAGCTGATGCATATTCGAAATGTAGATGAGCTGAAACTTCGTGACTTTACAAACCAGAAAATGCCTTCCAAAGAAAAGATGTATAAACTACAATGGGGCAACCAAAAATATCTATGGTTAAAGTATACCATCACTCTTTCAGTTCAGTAGGTGACACATAAATCACAGTTTGTTTGAACGAGGTTTGACTAAGTCACAAAGGAGTCAGTGAACACAACCCATTAAGTTATTAGCCAGAGTTCACAAATGAGTGAACACAACACAAGGAGGTTTAAAAAAAAAACAACCCTATATTATAACAATAAACCCATGTATGGGATAATCAGAGTTCTTAGAAAATTGACAGTATATAAATTTAATAAATAAATAAGTGTAGGAAAATAGCCCTGATACCCCAAAGGATCTGTATTTGGGAAGCAACATAAAAAGATTGATTTTTTTTTTCCCCAACAACAAAAAGTCACATTCTAAAAGTTTCTGATGTCCCAGTATATAGTCTGCTAATGGCTTTTGTTAACTTCACTGTCAAAGAAATGTAAAGCAAAAAGCTTGGTTACAATGAATTATTTTTATAAATTACTTTTTAAACTAGCTGGTGTTTCCGAACATAGCGAAGATTTTTAAGGCATCTGTTCTTCTGTATAAAATCTTAAAGCAAGGGACCAGTTGCTAGGGGAACAAGATATATATTTAGTGAATTAAAAAGTATAGCCTGAAGGTCAAATAAAAAAGTTTTTTTACAAACCGAATCACCAAGGGAGATTGGTACAAGATAAGTAAAAATGAAACTTCGCATTCATTACAGAACGCTAAGAATTTCAAGCTTCTAATTTTAGTCATTGTCTTGGTTTTCACCATAGGGTGCTTAAAAGCAGGGCTGATAACTACTTTTAAGGCAGGCTAACAATTCTCCAGTTTAATTTCATGTTAGTTACATGTATTAATCTAGAAGTGTCAAAATCCTGTGTGCTAGGTCAGGACTGGCATTATATTGTATGTTAGAAGCATTTCAGAGACTCTTCAGGTGCATGAAAAACATCTTGGTTCCACAGAGGATTTTGTAGAGAAAGTATTCGGTTTTGCACATTATTCTAAACCAGTTGTGGCTCCTTCAACTAACCATATTTAAAGAAATTGTGGTACAACCGAGACTCATTTTATCAAGCAGCAAAAGAGGATGTGAGAGGGCTGAAATGTTTCTGAGGCCTGGCTGTAACAGGAAGAGCAACCCAGTTCTCTAAGGGTCTGGCTTTACTTGCAAAATAGCAACTCCTCCGTATTTTTTTTTAATCTGACCTGTTTTTGATCCCATTTAAAATCTGGAACGAGAACAAAGCCGTTGATGGGATCTGGATTTTCATAGACAATTCGATCAGCTTCAGCCTTCTTCTCCAGGATGTTGTACACCCACTAGAAAAGATAAAACGTATTTATTTATTTATATATTAAATTTATATGCTGCCCCCTCTCACTAGCCAGCGACAGATCAATTGCTTAAAATCAGATTGACTTCATCCAGTGCATAGCGCCAACCCAGGCTGTTATTTTAATTTGTTCTTTGCTCACAAAAATTTCAATTTGGGTTCCGAAATACAAAATGTCACTTGAGTTCCCTAAAGAACAACATGATTTCCTAACTAATGCAAGCTACAGTTCATTGACCTGAAAACAATCAAATATCTGTGTGTCAGGGCTGAGGTCAATCTTGGAGGGGAAATAGAATCATTTTCATCTTCATCCCCAACGCATTCCCAGCCAGATGACTGAAGAAATGGCTTTTCTTTTCTCCAATGTGAAACATACTCTGTCACTTCTGAAAGCAAAACACTCGATTTAATCAACGTTTAGACGCATAAAATGGCAGCACTTCCAAAGAACGCTGGCGCAGCCTCCCACATAAAAAGTATAATGGATCTGCCACGAAACTGACTGCGGTGAAGCAAAACTACTTTAATATAGTTTGGGAAAAAGGAGAAGGGAAAGAAATAATGTACAAAATGATATAGCTTTCAAAGTTCTTTAGGCATAGATATTTTCTCTCTCTCTTTTTTTTACTAATAGCTATACAGAATTCAGTATAACAAGGCCATTGAACCCACTGGGGGAACGTTAGGCCAGGAACTCCCAAATTAATTCCAGGGTGAATCTAGGGGCACCTTTTAAAAAGTAGAGGGCTCTCTTGAGCCTTGTAAAGTCCCGCTTCAAATGGAGTGGGTTATGAGCATCGTCAAAGAAATAAATCAGAATAAAAGGAAGTTGTCTGCTGAGGCTTAGCACGATTCGGGCCCCTTCAGGGGCAGCTTCTGACATCAAGAGCACTTGGAAGGAAGAGTTTAGAAATTTAGTATCCCAGAAACTGTTGTACTGAACATCTGAAACCATCATAAGATCTTGCTCTTTAATTCCAGGGTACGCAAGATGGTTCTGCGTCTGGCTGACCACGTGGAACACACCAAGAAGTTAAATCTCATTACTTACTTACAGTTATAATAAGGAGGATATAAGAGCTGGTGCTTGGCAGACTGAGGTGCTTTGCACCACAATGTGCCCTTTCTTAACTTGGCTGGAGGCAGTATTTTGTTTTATTTCATTTTATTTTTATTTTTTTTATTTTCGAAAGAGGAAATCAAGGCATGTCGGGAGCACGCAAAGCAAACCGGGCTGCCAGATACGAGAAAGAAAAAGTCCAGACGTTTGCAGCTGTAAATAATTACAAACATATCACAGTGACACATTTGACAGTGCAAAAATACCAAATAGGGTTGCAGTTCTCTTCCAATTCTCACACTTCAAATGAAAATGGAATTCTACGTCTTTTTTCTTTCAAGGAATGGATTGCCTAAAAAAGAATTCTGTGCAGCTTGGGGGGAAAAAAAATCTCAGATAGTGATTCAACAGAAAAGGCATTTTTCTATTCTCTATTCTATTCCTCTCATCTGCTTTATTTCCAGTTATATACAAACCATTAATCATGATTTCAAACAAAGTCAAAACAATTCCACCGGAAACACCGCATACTTAAGCTTTTTAATGTAATAAGTCTAGAGCAGGGGTGTCAAACTCAATTTCATTGAGGGCTGCATCAGCATTGCGGTTGCCCTTGGGGGGGGGCGGGGGTCCAGAGTGGGTGCAGCCTACTGGGTGGGTGTGGATGGAGCAGGTGTGGCCTACTGGGTGGGCATGGCCAGCTCTACATTGTTCGCGTCAAGGGTGCCTGTGGGGGTCTGGGCAGGAGTGGGACAGATCTGAGGGTCTCTGGCAGAAGGGGGTGGGACCGGGGCAGGCGCCAAGGCATGGTCCATTTCTTCATTCCTCACAAAGGGTGACACCTCCCCAGCATGCACCCAGGGGGAGGGGCCGACACGGCAGGGGCTGGTTCCTCACTGTTTCCAGATGGCCTTGTGGAGCTAACACTGAATGTGTTTCAGCATAGATGACCACCACAAAATTGTACATTGGCTCCCGGCCGTCCAGCCTGGGCCAGGGCCAAAGTAGCGGGGGCTGTTCCATCACTGTTTCCAGGATGGCTTCGCGGGCCACATGAAACCACTTCGCGGGCCGCATCCAGCCTCCAGGCCTTGTGTTTGACATGTCTGGCTTAGAGCTTACCATTATTTAGGCTCCAAAAATCCAAACGTTCGCCAATTTTTTTATCACTTGACTGTCATCTGCTGGTAATCTGGATTTTTGCATCCCAGATAAGGGACACAATTTATCATTAGAAATTGATTAAAGGAAACAGAATTATTTACTCTAACCCTACAGCCTTAAAGGAGCAGATAAATCAAATCTCAGGGTATATACAGGTTTTTGAAAGCAGACTGTTTTACCCAGTAATAAATGACTGCATCCTTTTTTTGAAGGAAAAATTCACTTCCATAGGAGAAGCTCTAAGTGAAGATGATAGGGCTTAGATTTCTTGTATCCAGGAACCGATAATTGAATATTGTCTGTATGACAGAAGAAGCAGATGGTGGCTTCTGAAATAGGCTAAGAAAGAAACCTGCAGGGCTGAAGTTAAAGGATATCAGCAGGAGGTGAGGGAAATATAGCAGCAATTGCCAGGCACAATGTGACGCTAGTTAGAAATTGTTATTTTTGTCTGGTGCTTGCTAAACAGATCGAGTCCCCATCAATTACCATGCTAGCTAAAATGCGGGGTTCTTCATTGAAACCTCCTGTCCTAGTATTATCTAATTAATTAAACATAATGTCAAAGTCCGGTGGCATTTCCAAAACATTGATCTCTTTCGCTCTGGGCCATCAGCCAGAAGAATCATCTCATTTAACCCTGGACAACTCAAATGTTTATGCATTTTTAAAATCAAAAGAGAAGAGACCAAAGCACTTGCAAGGAGAAGAAAAGGCCAAATGATCGTTATAATGCTCCCATGTGAAGCCTGAGTAATAATGACCTGCCCATACACCGTAAATGTAATTACTCCATAGCTGAACGTGTGTATTGAAGATCGGTGCAACAAAACAGATTCCCTTCATACGTCTCTAGCGAAGAAGCCACATTGAACTTGGGGGAAGAATCTCGGACAGTGATGGTGAACCCTTTAGAGACCGAGTGCCCAAACTGCAACCCAAAACCCACTTATCTATCGCAAAGTGCCAGGGGCCCATCAGCATTGTGGTGCCCTCAGGGGGGGCAGGGAGGCACCGCTGAGTGCCACCTCTGGCATGCAAAAACCAGGAGCACAAAAATAGGCCACAGTGCTGCAAGGTGCAAAAACGGCCACTGCTGCACCACGGGGTGCAGATACAAGATGCTGCCCACACAAGAATGGGGCAGGGCTAGTGAGTATCACGCAGGCACTAGCCCCGCCTCATTTGCAGCGCGTGCATGCTCTTGGCCCTGTGCGTGCACGCGCGCATGTAAAATGCTTCCCCCTCCCTTTTCTTCCAGTCCACCAATCGACAATGGTGGGTGACCTCTGCTCTATCACCTCTACTTGAGCTTGCTAGTTGGCTGCTTCGCCTCCTTCGTGCTGGGCGGGGCTCCTGCTCCGGGCGGTGGTGGCAGCCTGATGGACCTGCTGCCAGCGGCAGCAGTGCGCGTGGCAACAGAGAGGGCTCTGAGTGCCGCCTTTGGCACCCGTGCCATAGGTTCGCCACCACTGACCTAGGAGAAGAAGGGTGAGTCTCATCTCCATAGATCATTCTAGAGGACAAATCCCAGCTCTCTCCATAAAGCAGAGGTCCCCAACCTTTCGGGCACCAGGGACCGGTTCCGTGGAGTTTTTTCCGCGGACTTCAGGTACATGGTTTTGTGTGCTTGCCTACATCTTGTGGATGGGGCTTTGTTTTGTTTGTGCAGATCGGTTGCTGGCATGCCGCGGCCCGCTCCCGGTCCACAGACCGAGGGGGGGGGGTTGAGGACCCCTGCCATAAAGCACAAAAGGCTTTTGTTGTTGTTGTTAAGGTCCTTAGTCCTCCTCCAAATAAACTCCAGAATTACAGTCCTGGTTTTTTTTTTCATATCTGGAATTCAATTAAACCAACCAGTACTACTTCGGTAATATTGCACTGTAAATATGAGTTACTGCTCAGACTCAGCTTTGTTATTCCTCCTTTCCTTTGAGGTTTCTACTTCCTCTTTGGTCCCAGTTACTTCCTCAACTTTCTGTTGCTGAGTAGCGTGCCAGGGACTACAAAATACATAAGGAACCAGAATAGGCCGAATCAGGACAAAAGTTAACTGGCAGGAAATTTAAAAGAATAATCATGTTACTCCCAATATAATTCTAATATTGTTCTCTTGAAATGGCATTTTGTATTTACAAATCAATACATTATAGTTAAGGCCATGGTTTTCCCAGCTGCAATGTATGGCTGTGAAAGTTGGACCATAAGAAAGGCTGAGCGCCAAAGAATTGAGGCCTTTGAACTATGGTGCTGGAGAAGACTCCTGCGAGTCCCCTGGACTGCAAGGCATTCAAACTGGTCAGTCCTAGAAGAGATCAACCCCGACTGCTCTTTAGAAGGACAGATCCTGAAGTTGAAACTCAAATACTTTGGCCACCTAATGAGAAGGAAGGATTCACTGAAGAAGAGCCTAATGCTGGGAAAGATTGAGGGCAATAGAAGAAGGGGATGACAGCGAATGAGGTGGCTGGCTGGAGTCACTGAAGCAGTAGGAGTGAGCTTAAATGGACTCCAGAAGATGGTAGAGGATAGGAAGGCCTGGAGGAACATTGTCCATGGGGTCACGATGGGTCGGACACGACTTTGCAACAACAACAAATCAATACATCTTCTAGCTTGAGGGCCTCAACTGATACATGACTGTTCCAGGGACGAAAACTAGTTCTGGGGCTGGAAAACGAGCCTGATGTTGTCAAAATAAATATGAAAAACCCGTCGCCGAACTATTTCTCATTCAATATCTGCCAGTGATGTCATAGCTAGAAGAGAGGCCACCGAGGTGATGTCCTGGGAAAAAAGCCAAGCTGTCCTGCATATTGAATGCTGCAAGAAGCAGAATGAAATTACATCCAAGAGCAACAATAAAACAAAAAACTCAAACCATTTGCCAAACCTTGTTTGGTACAGAACAATTATTCCTCTGAATCACAAAGCCATTCTGAAAAGACAAAAATTGGGAAAGAAAAAGGCTATATCTGTTGCAATCAGCTGAAGTTCCCTTTATGTTTCAAAAAAACAGTTTGCTGCCTCCCTCCCGGGTTGAAATTCCAGTTTCCGGTTCAGATTCCTGAACAACAGTGACTCAATTATCTTACTAATGAATTGCTTTTGAAATTGTCCTGAGATACAAGTAGAGCTAACAGAACTGGGCGGCCAAAATCTGCACGGCCGCTAACTGATAGCAAAGAAATGCAGAAAAGCATTGTCTACTATTGAGCAATTTCCTGGATTTTTGCAATTCAGATTCGATAGCCTTAGGTTCTGGGAGCAACGTTTAGTAGAGAAGAACCTTCAGCATCCTCCAAGACCTTGGGGTACACCTGGATGACCTCTTTGGACCTAAGCCACCTTCTTTTTGGACGGCGCATTCATAAACAAGGAATGACGTGCGTACCTGAATGCTGATACTCTGTGATTCGATAAAAGGCAGAGTGATGTTCTTATAATCCTCCCCCGTCTCCTGGATGAGATACACTGACCGAGACAAGTATTTCTGAAGATGTTTTTCAGTTGCTGGGTACACCACAGTAGTTTTTATCTCTGGAATTGTAAGCAGAACATTCTTATTAGAGAAAATGGGAGTCTAAACCAGTGTTTCTCAACCTTGACAATTTTAAGGCATGTGGACTTCAACTCCCAGAATTCCACAGCCAGCATTGAGGATTTCCAGGAAAGGTTATTCACGGAAGGGCCATTTGCACATTTTAAATGAATGCCACCTAAACCTTCTTCTCATCACAAAGCACACTCAACAAGTTATTACGCAGATCACACAATGAGTGATAAAAAGCCAAAAAAACAAAAAAAACAACCACAATATTTCTCCCCACTATACAAACAAACAAAAAATCCTTTGGATGGAGTAACAGGAAAGGTTGTCCTTGACCAGGGGTAGGCAACCTTGGCTCTTTTATGACTCGTGGACTTCAACTCCCAGAGTTCCTGAGCCAACCATGCTGAGGGGAAAGGGAAAGGTTTCCAAGCTGAGCAATGCTGGCTCAGGAATTCTGGGAGTTGAAGTCCACGAGTCATAAAAGAGCCAAGGTTGTCTACCCCTGTTCTTGACCTACTGTGGCTAAGCCAGAGAGTTATTAAGTGAGTTATGTTCCATTTTACAACCTTTTATGCCACAGTTGTTACGTGGATCACTGCAGTTCTGTGAATCATGCGGTTGTTAAGCGAAACCAGCCTCCCCCTCGGTTTTGCTTGTTGGAAGCCAGCTGATGATTAGGGGACTGGAGGCTAAAACATATAAAGAACAGTTGCTGGAATTCAGTATGTCTAGTTTAATGAAGGGAAGGACGAGGGGGGACATGATAGCAGTGTTTCAGTATCTCATGGGCTCCTAAAAAGAAGAAGAGGGAGTCAAGCTATTCTCCAAGGTGCCTGAAGGCAGGACAAGAAGCAACGGATGGAAACTCATCAAGGAGAGAAGCAACCTAGAACTAAGGAGAAACTTCCTGACAGTTAGAACAATTAACCAGAGGAACAACCTGCCTCCAGAAGTTGTGAATGCTCCAACACTGGAAGTTTTTAAGAAGAGACTGGACAGCCATTTGTCTGAAATGGTATAGGGTTTCCTGCCTGAGCAGGGGGTTGGACTAGATGACCTCCAAGGTCCCTTCCAACTTTTATTATTATTGTTGTTGTTGTAAGTCAAGGACTACCTATATTCTTGGTCAACAGCACAGCAGAGAAGTGATAGAAAGTCCAAGGCATTTGGCAGCGGCAAAGGGGGGGGTTGTCCTTCTTTGTGTGTATACACAAATATATATATACATGTTAAACTGTAATTAGGAAAGCACAAATACCAGCACTGAAGTCAGCAGTGGGAGCGGTGGGGGCTGTAATGGGTCTGGTGAGAAAGCAGGTGGGAAAGTCAGCAACTGACTGTAAAAACACTTTATTTTCTTTGGCCCCGAGGCCAAAGAATACTAGCCATTCAAAACAAATGTTTGCAAATGGTCCTAAGAAAAATATGGGTGGGAAGGGAACAACTCCATTACCACATTTAACCGTTTCTTTTTTCAGGGGCAATTAACAAAGCACAACTAGATCTAGAATTACCAAAATGCCTTCCAAGAACACAGCTCTCAAGAAGTACGAGCCAGGACTTAAAAAAAAAAAAAAATCTTTCCAGAGAATGCCAAATATAATCCTTGATTGCCCCCGAGATCTATATAGGCAGCAGGTGTCCAGGCTGGACTTACAAAACCTTCCTCTTTTTGGTGTTTTTTTTTCTCCTGGACTCTGTTCCCGCCATGAACTTTGCTTGGGGGAGGCCAAAAACCAGCCCTGCCGAAGCAAACTGCTTGTCGTAATGGAGAGGAGATTCCCTATAGCAGCAGACCGGCTCTGTACTCTGCTAACTCCAGGAAAGAGGAAATTGTTGCCATATTGCAAAGCCAAGTTAAAATAAGATCATTCCTGGTGACCCTTTGATGCATTTCACAGATGGATGGGACACACGCTAACTCCGTTCTGCTGTCAAGAAAAGAAACATAGATTTGCCTGCCTTCTCCAGGAACTCCCTAATGGATCCGCCCTGGCTGTAATGTTATTACTTTATAAATGTCTAAGAAGCTTCCACTCTGGTTTTTGTAAATGACCAGGATGTCTCTCTCCCTCCCGCCAACTTTTTTTTTTAATTCCCTAAGTTTAAGGTCAAGCACGGAATGAGATTAAGCACCGCTGGTTAATTAAAGTTATTTGTCCTTAAAGGCATTTCCTCCAACAAACCAAATATGCGCTCTTGTATGTAAACATGTTGATCCGAAAGAGACAATGCACTGCAGTGCTTTCACATTTTAAGAGTCTGCCCTTCATCAAAGAAGAAATGGGTTTCAAGCATAGGACAACAAAACTACAATACCCAGAAGCCTGCACAGACTTCGTCCTGGTGCAATTCAGATTCACCACCTACCTCTCCCGCTGCAATTCACTCTCCAGATTCTCCCTCCCAAAATAGCTTGTTCTTTCATTCAGTGGACTTCAGAAGGTTTTTGCCGTGTGCTTAATGGAACACAGCTAATATTCCCAGCTCACAAACTACCAGGCTTACTCGAGTCAATCCCTCCATAAATCATTGGATGTCTTAACTTCCCCGGCTGTATGCTATTAGAATCAGATGGAGACTGAAACCACAACTGCACATCTAAGAGAAAAGTTCTGCAGAGTGTGTGGGGGGGGGAAAGGGATGTAAGGAAGTCAAGCTGTTCCTTGACACACTACAATTGTGCTCGCACAGCGTGCAAAGGCATGGTTCACCATGGTTTATACTTCCAACCAAAGCTGGCTTGCTTCATAAAATGCACTAAATATAAGCTATGGGTTTGTTTTTTTTTAAAAAAAAAAACCACATTGGCTGGGTTTGGACAATTCCCTAAGCAAAAAAACCACAAAAATCACCGTATAGTTTGGCATACCATGTGAATTCAGCTCAATCTGAGTTTCCAATACACTACAAGGAAGGCTACGGCTAATCACTTATTATTATTATTAAATATAAATATACAGGTAGTCCTCAACATACGACCACAGTTGAACCCAAAATTTCTGTTGCTAAGCAAGACATTCGTTAAGTGAATTTTGCCTCATTTTGCAACCTTTCGTGCCACAGCCATTAAATGAATCGCTGCAGTTGTTAAGTTGGTGACACGGTGGTTAAGTGAATCCGGCTTCCCCCATTGACTTTGCTTGTCAGAAGGTCACAGAAGGGGATCACGTGACCCTGGGACACCGCAACCGTCATAAATACGAGTCGGTTGCCAAGCGTCTGAATTTTCATCACCTGACCATAAGGATGCTGCAACGGTCATCAACTATGAAAAATGGTCCTAAGTCGCTTTCTTCCGTGTCGTTGTATCTTTGAACAGTCACTAAACGAACGTCCATGGTATACTGAAGCAAGTTGGCAAACTGCCCCATTTCAGTAAACGGCACTGTCAGATTGTGGGCCTTATTTTATTTTGAAACAGAATTAACTCTTGAAGATAAATTGTTGGACAAAAGTGTTTACATTAGGACTTAATGACTCCCCTTGCAAAAAGCTTACGACAACAGCTCCAAATCCAAGCACCGAAAGCCAAATGAACAGAATAACGTACCTCTTCACCATCAAACTTCCCCCTTTCACTATATCTATATTAACGGTGTGAGATATAGACAAGACATATAAGCCAACCGGATTGCTCCCGAGTCTACGTTCCTCTGCTATCGGTAGTTGTATCGCATTATTTTCCTGCAGTTCAGGCACAATTCATCATCCCCTCCGATGATAATCATCAGCTGAGGTTTAGGATCCCATTCACCTCTGCCGGCACATAAGCCATTAATCCTCGGGAATCAAGTCCAAGGGTAAGGCAATACATTTGATTCCTTAACAACCTTGGCTCAGAAGTCACCCCTCTTTCAAAAGGAAGAAAGGAAGAGACGAGGGGGGACCCCACAAATATTCTTGGCAGCAACGCTTTTTTTTTTTACATCTCCCCCCCCCTTTTCTCCTTGATCTGGCAATGCAGTTAAATAAGTGTGTATCCGACCCACTAAAAATAGAAAGGAATTTATTTTGAAATGCGATAGAAGAAAACAATGCAATAAGTGTATGTGGATGGAAGGGTGTGTGTGTGTGTGTATATACACATATACATATATGCATACACACACACACACATACACACATATATATACAATATACACATATACATATATACATATATATATACACACACATATCTTGCCAATCTTATGAGCAGGCTTTCAAACCTCCGGTATTCCACTCTGATGACGTTGGCAGTTAGCCGACGAAAGCTAAGTTTATCAAACAGTTGTTAGTTTATTAAACAGTTGTTTTTATTTATCCCGGTGTTCGACTACTTTTCTCAAAACACACACACACACACACACACATACACATACACATATACACACACACACATATATATACATACACACACACACACACACATATATACACACACATACACATAATATATATACATATATACATATACACACATACACACACACAGAGGTAATGGTCATAGTTATTATTACTTTGGACGATTTTATTGCCAGTTTTCAAACCATTCACAATATGGTCAAAGAAATGTGCATGTTTCTTATGATTTTTTTAATGAGATTTTTTTTCTTCATGTTTATCGGACGTCCCATGAATGTTCAAAACAGCTTAGGCCTTGTGCTAGAAGAGTAAAATGAGAAGGGAACATCTCCTTATAGGATATAGACTTCTCCCACTATTAGAAAGCAGGGGACCATGAGTTCAAGTCCTGCCTTAAGCATGAAAGCCAGCTTGGGTGACCAGTCACCCTCAGCCAACCCACCTTACAGGGTTGTTGTGGGGAAAATAGAAGGAGGGAGGTGTGTTGGATAGGTTCGCCGGTTTTAGTCTTTTGTAAAAGTAATAACAGGAGGGTACAGATGAATGAATAAATGTGGGTAGTCCTCAACTTACAACTGATCACTTAGCGACTTTGAAAACTTTTGAAATTCCAGCCCCACCGCCTTCTTTGCAGCCACAA